AACGTTTAGATCAAAAATCTAAAGGTACGACGAACACTTATAAATACTAACCGTAGTTCAGACACTCATTAGATAGTGAGTACTGACCGATGACAGAAAATATTGCAGTTATTGTAGGGTATATGGGGAATATTTATGTGTAACTGGAGCAATCGATGTACACCTAATTAATTTGTGATAGATTTACTGTATTGTTATTGTATTGGTATATCTATTCCTACACCTACCCAATACCAGAAATGTAGACTAAAATCACCACAGTTTCTACCACGGCCGATTATGTGCTTTGAGATTTGTAAATAATTAGGATTTGCAGGCTATACATCAATAATTTAGTAATATACTTATATTATACAACGATAACCGATAAGTATATAATAACCGTCGATAGTTAAAATATATAATATATTATTATTATTATTATTATTTACCCAAATAGGTTTAAAAAATCAGAATAAAACAATGCAGATAACATTTTCACGTGATTGCTGATCAAGTTCTTATAAATTCCGTAGGYGAGGAAAAAAACRTTCTAGATAAGTTCATATAAAAATTTCGAAATCCAAAATAAAAAAATCATCCCGTACTTATATTACAAGAAAACCGCAGTACCTACCTATATCTGGTTACTGCAGGTTACTGTATTTTTTGTAAAAACAATATCATTTTATTAGAAAATTATTTTACTTTTTAATATTGTAACCACTTACAATGGACTGATGGAGGAACGACGAACAGAAAAGCTCAGWGCCCGGAGAGCTAAGATAATGTTCCTTAAAAAATAGCCTTGTCCAATGCTTATATCTTTCAAAACAATTTTAAGCCATAATTTATTATACAATGCTAGGTAGGTACTAGGTATACCGTCTGTTTTAAATTTAAAATTTTTAATTCAGAATCGGTTAAAGGGCATTACCCTACGAAATAAATCTACTTATTCTTGTAAATCCTGTATGAAAYGTCATAAAATTGACTATTGAGTAAGGTTACATAACAAAGCATTTTAATGTCCGATAGGTTCTGATAGGTGTGCCGGAATAAGGTGGCTTCCGTTCATTTTTTTAACTGTATTCATTGGACTTGGAATGTCTAAGTAGGTACTGACGCGATCACATTTGAAAGATAACCATAATGCGTACCGTGTGTACACGAGTAAATTATACCATTTGTTCAGTTTCTTTAAAAAACGTATTTTCTAATAGACACTTTTGAAATTGTTTTTGAAGTAGATTTGAAACTAACATAATAGAGATAAGTATATAGTTTAGTCTTCAGAGTTTAGGTTTATTATCATTTTAATTTTATATATTCATTAAACAAAATWTATTTATTCTTTATTAAAAATGTTATGCTTTTAAAATTTTTATCACTCATATTATTTCTTTTTTTGTCATGTTTACAACACCCAAAATATTTTCCCATCAGATACACAAAAAAAAAAAAAAAAATTAAAAGTATTCAATACAAACAATTATTTTGAATATTATTGGAAATACTTCATAGGTACCAAGAGTATTTAAAAGTAATTCAATACTATATAATATTGAAATACTTTCACTCAAATCCTTCWCAACTCTGATGATAATGAATTGGCATGACAACAGCAACAGATAAAACAGGTGCATTAATTCAGTGCGGTTGACATTTGTTGCAGGGCTACCCACGACATGGTTGAACTGGACGGCGGGCTGCTTGTGCTCGGCGGCAACGACAGCAACTCGAGCCTTCACTCGACGGAGCGATACGATCCCCGGATCAATCGATGGACAATGTCTACGCCGATGCCGACGCGCCGAAGCTCGGTGGGCGCCGCTCTACTGTACTGCTTCAACATGGACGGCAAGCTGACGACGGCTGCCAACGCCACAAATGCCGTCGCCGTCATGAGTGGAGGCGCTGCGATGGGGGCCGCCAGTTCTGGAACGGCGTCCGTCACAAATTCACCGTACAAGTCCACTGCCACGTCCGTATGATTGCCGTGGTCGACCACCAGTAGCTGGCGGTCGAACAATGACGATTCCGAACGTTCTCACTCGTTGCCAAACTAGCGAGTGCGCACGGTGTTCAAAACCTCGCTAATAAAATTAGATCAGATCTGCCCACTGYGATTGTCTGTCTGAACAGGGCCACAAAATTAATCGAAAGAAGCAAATCGCAACAGCGCAGTTATTATTATTATAGTTGAGCGCATCTGTGTATATAATATTATTAAAATTAAGTATATTATTATCGTGAATGACACCTTAATATTTCGCATTTAGCGAGTTCCACTCATTCTCTCTCTGCTTGCTGCCAATGTTGTCTACGATTACGTATTTATTCTATAGATATTAATCGGTATCGCAGCATCTTGCGTTATATACCTATTTATTTTATAAACATGATGACTCGACATGGAATTGTGCGGCTTATCGTTCGTTCGCTTTTGAACAATAATAAACATAAATACTTGAATTCAAAACCATATTTTTTGACGGACAGTCAATTTATCATTTTATTTGGGGGACCAAGAACATGAGCTCTAGTCCAATGTAAATTACGTATGCGATTTTTAAATGTTGTACCTAAATATACCTACTTATTGTTGATTTTTATTGGTTCCTAATTAATTTACCATATTTTTTATTACTATTATTTAAGCACATTTTTATAGTACCTATACATATACCAGCAGATTTAACGTGTGTTCTTTTATATACTTAGCTCATCGATTTGTTTTTTTTTTAGCATTTTTGTTAAATACGTTTGTACCTATTATTTTAAACTATTTACTGTGATGGATAATAATAATWATTAATTTGTATATTTTTCGCCTGTAATATCATTTCAAATTTGAGCTATATATATTTTGTTTTTAATAATAGAATAAATCTTGTGATAATAGTGTTTTAAAAGTTTGTTTTGATTAATTTAATATTGTAACAAACAACTATTTGAAATTCAAACATAGATTGGTGTACAATAAAGTATATCAGTGTGAATGAAATAAAAGTAACAAAACATAGGAAGGTTGAACTCAACTAGTCTTAAYCATAAAAATATTCATGGTTAAATTTCTATTTCAATTGTATCTGTTAATTTTAACATAATATTTTAAATGGTATAGACTAATTATTAGGAATAATAGATTTATAGAATATATTTATTTTGAGTTCATACTAAATATTATATTATCATGAAATTAAAATATACAATTGCATTCCTTAATTGTCTTTGTCTAGAGGTATATTAAAACTTAAAAATACAAAATAGAATAGAGATAATAAATTTCATCTTTTTTATAATTTATTTAGTTTAATTTAATAAGTTGGTTACAGTTTTGTTTGCAATACTGCCAACAGTTTCATTGGATTGAACTCTAATTTTTGTCTCATAATTTGATACTATGCTATATGATCCGCCTAAAAATATCACAAAAAACGTCACCCAACAAATTTCTTCAATATACTATTTTTATTTAAGTTAAACATTTATACACTTCTAACGAAGTACATATGATACATAAAAAAAAAAATTGAACAGAACCATATATTATCTGAATTATAGATGAAACTATACAAAATTGTGTATGGAATATATAAAAGCAGTTAACATAATAATTTCGTACTACAGGAGATAAAAATGCACCCAGTCTACTTCTTACTTTTCAATTTGTCGCTTTGTTCATCAAATGAAGGATCACTGATGTTCAACATAAGATTATTTCCACTCAGGAAAACTTTGTTTTGAGAAGTGGCAATCTAAACAACAAATTAAAATTATTAATTAGATATGTTTTTAAAATTATCAGTCTCATCATACCGTTCTGGAAATATTTTGTGCTGCTCTAATTTTGCGAAGCTTCAAGTAACCAGGATTCCTACCAACAGCTTCTCCTAAGTAGATATTTCAGTTAAGGCAAAACTACATMAAACATATTAGGATGGTACAATAAAAGTATAATAATAAAAGGATATCATTTTTGCTGCTTCAGCTTCTCCCTCAGCTTGTAAAATCTTTTGTTGACGTTCTTGTTTGGCTCTTTCGACAAAGAACACGGCACGCTGTGCTTCTTGGTGAGCTACTTGTTTTGCTTCAACAGCTGCAGTATACTCTTTACCAAAACTCAGTTCAGTAATAGAAACATCGTCTAAAATTATATTGAAATCACGAGCCCGATCAACAAGTTGTTTCCTAATGAGCAGAGAAACCTATAAAAAAAAAGGTATTAGTTAGAAATCTTTTAATTATAACATTATGACCTTGAATACTAAATATATTTTATGTAAGCAATAATTCACAATTCAATAATTTGAAATAACAAATAGTAATAAATATTTACTTAGTTTTATTAAATCTAATTTTAACATTTAATAAAATTATTCATAACTTTATCAGAGATCATAAATAAATAGATATATATTTTTCTAAAATGTAATTAACAAGAAAATACTGCAATGATTATTAAATTGATAATTATAGATTTATTTTAGAAAAGTTCTAAAACAATATCAGATACACCCTATAGTGTTTATATACAAATCTATGTAACAACTCTCCTTGATTACAAGACTACAATTTGACATTTGAATAAGAAATGCATTTATTACTCAAATAATTAAAATTGCTTTCAAGTCACATAATTTGATCCATACTTCACTTTTAAGGAGGATAGGGCATATTCTAAAATGCTTTTTTTAGTATCAAAGTAAATTATATTCCAATAATCTCTTCAGCAAGAGAAAATGCTAGAAAGAGCAAACCAATAGATTGAAAGCTAAACACTCACTAAGCACCAATTTTCCCCTTTAAATCAACCCACGCCACTAACGATGATTAGCAGCTGATATTAGYGAGAGAGTTACAGCTGGATTTTGCACAGATCAGACCAATTTTGGATAAGKTAGTGTTYACTCACAAGAAACATAATACAATAATAAAAAAWTTTTTAACATATTTAATACCTGCTGTCTTTGTGTAATTAGTTGTGATGCGTTGTATTTAGCAACCACTGATTTCAAAACTTCATTACAAATTGAAGGAAGAACTTTTTCATCATAATCAATACCTAAATGTTGATACATGTCTGGCAGCTTAATGGCATCTGGTCKGGATAATACACGAAGTGAAATGTTTACCTAATAAATTGAAAACCTTAATTAATATGAAAACAATATCACMAGTACATTATAATTACAATATTACCATTTGCAAGTCTTTGGAACCTGTAGGTGAAGATATTTTTCTTGGTCTTGACCTAATGTCAAAAATAACTGGGTATTGGAACCATGGCAGACGAAAATGTAATCCTTCAGGATATACTTCTCTTTGTATACCACCAATACGATTGAACATAATGGCACGATGCCCACCTTCAACTATAAAAATATAATATAGTAATAGTTAAAAATCAATTTTCACATCAAGACATGATATCCACAAGAAATAAAACTAATTTAATCTATAAAAATTAATWAATATATTWAGTTTTATTAATTRCCTGTATTAATTATAATATCAATTCTATCCTAAATAGTAATAATATAATATGCCTAGATATCTAAACTAATATCAAACATTTTCATTGAACTTTAAGTTAGAATAAATGAAAAATTATAAAAGTGAATTACTAATTGTTTTTTACATATTATCATGATAGAATACAGAGATTTAAAGTGTATACTTTATATGCATAGAGTGAAACTTGAATTTATGCAATTTAGAGTAACTATTAGAATTTTATACTTATAAATATTTGTTAATTTTTAGAATATATTGTTATCATTATTTATGAATGGTTTACTGGTTTTCAAAAATGCATCTAATATAATAATATGTACAACTACCTATCCAGTCAAGGAAAATCTATGAATCATAAATACCGATCGAAAGAGTTACCATAAAATAATAAAATTACAATAATTGGTCAGAAATGAAAATTTTAGCCAGGCCAGAAACATATTTATGTTTTTAAAAAAAAAATAGCATTAGGTAGAGAAAAAAATAAGCAATACCTAAGAAGTACATATATTATAAATTACCTACGATAAAGTAATAATATTTTTTTTAATACAATTAATGAACACAATATATGGTATAGGCATTATGTGTAACTGCAGTGAATGATTTAGTATGAACTTCTAATAGCCAGAAATCAATATCTATGGTTATGATTTCTGACAAAACATGATCACTGACATCACATTAATATTAGCTATTACAAAAACAATTGAAATAGTGCAGTTCATAAATTAAATTAAATGTTTTAATAAAAATCAGACCTAGAACCCAGTAGGTAAATGAAAAAATATGATATTATAATATTATGTTACCTGTAAACATGGAATTGGCCAAACCGTAACCAACGAGTCCAACACCAGCTACAAGTTTCATGCCTAAACTCAGACCTTTAGCTGCTCCCATTTTGTTGACAAAGTCGTTCATTTTGTTATCCATACTTAATGTTTTATAGTAAATTAATTATATTCTAAAATTAAAAACTGTAAAAAAAGATGGAAAATCAGAACTCTAATTTTCCTAATCGTAATCTGCCCTATGCGCTGTGTAGTGTGTCCTGTGGTCTTAGAACTATGAAAAGAAAAAGAACGAAATTTTTTTATTATCACTTCTACCATAACCTCAAAACCACCGGTATTAAAGTTGGTCAGTAATTATTATGGCTTAAGATAAACAGGTTACGAAACGCAGCTGTGATTATTGAGGCTCTAGTCTATCAATTCTCGGATACCAGCGAGAATGATACCCAGCGCTCCATGCGGTACTATTTAGCTTTATTTATAATTTTCCATGATACTTTTTGATTTTGC